TCTTTTTATCTACCGCTGTTCATTTTTGAGGGAGTGTGGGGGGGTGGGGGCTGNAGGTGGGGGTCCGCGGACCGGCCATAGAGCCCATAGAGTTAAAGGTGTTGGCCGTTAGCTGTAAAAATCCATAGATTAGCCGCACCGTTATATAAGCCGCAGCGTCGAAAAATAGGGAAAAAGGCGCGGCTTATAGTCCGAAAATTACGGTAGTTAATACTCGCCTAATTGTAGGTTTATGCTACTTATAATATCTTTGTTTTCCTCATTATTTAACTGATTTCACAAGCAGAACACATTCCTCAGGAAGGCTTGGTAAATAAGAATGAGGAATAAACAAACTCTTTCGTCATCTGCATTTCTTTTCAGGTTAAATCAGAACCCAGAGCTGCAGCTCCCTCTGCTGGTCCTTCAGCGCCTCTACAACCACCTCAGCCCACCTCCAGTCATGCATCCATGCTTACAAACACTGTCCGCATAGAGAGGCTTTCTGATGAAGAGGATGAGGAGGTGGACATCACTGATGACCTGAGTGAGGACGGAGATGCTAAACCGCAGGTTGTGATCAAAACTGAGATCTGTGAGCCAGAGCAGCCTCAGAGCTCTGAGATCCAGACAGATTCAGAGGAGCAGAATCATCTGACTGAGACAAGGGACCAGCCCAGCCCCCGCTCACTGTCCTCACAAAGTCCTCAACACTCCCCCTCTTCCTCAGAGAAGACTAGTGTTACTGGGATAGATGAGAAGGACAATGAAAGAGAATATCTCCAGCCAGAAAACGTTCAGACAGACTTGGGGCAAATGACTGATGAAATCAAGGGCCAGAGCTCCCAGTCTAAAAACTCAGCAAAGTGGGATCAACTGGAAGAGGCCTGTGGTGATGGAACAGGTACGATTTAAAACCTGCTGTTTTTATGTAGATCTACCACATCATGATATCACCAAGTTCTTTGCTTGTGAAGTAACACTGTGTTCGTTTGTCCTCCCAGATTCTGCTGATAAGACCGAGCAGAGTCCAACCGATGAAGAGTACGAGGAAGAGGAAGAGGAAGAGCTTAAGGTGCCTGAGCAGGAAGTAGAGTTGGAGATGGACACCATTACCGAGGATGAGAAACAAGCTATCCCCGAGTTCTTTGAGGGAAGAGCATCCAAGACCCCTGAAAGATATCTTAAGATTCGAAACTACATCCTGGATCAATGGTAAAACTGCATAGAAATGTGTGAATTTGTTCCCAACTGTAGAGAATAAGATGTTAATCATTGTTTTGTTCACCAGGTTAAAGATCAGGCCCAAGTACCTGAACAAGACGTCGGTCCGCCCTGGACTGAAGAACTGCGGAGATGTAAACTGCATCGGGAGAATACACACCTACCTGGAGCTCATCGGAGCTATCAACTTCAACTGCGGTAACCTCACTGAGACGCCATTCTTCTCTTATTCAAAAACAAATCTTGCTTCTGTTTCATTTGGAGCTGTGCCTCTTCTCTCACAGAGCAAGCGGTGTATAATCGCCCGAGGGTGTTGGACCGCTCCAAGCATAAGGAGGGCAAAGATGTGCTGGAGGCCTACCAGATTGCCCAGAGGCTGCAGAGCATGGTAGGTACCCACATTCTCCCATAATGCACCCAACCTCAAGAACCTAAAATATGAGTTTGTTGGACTTTGTGCTAATTGCTGGGGGGCTTCACGTTTTAGCGGACCAGGAAGCGCCGTGTGCGGGACGTATTAGGAAACTGGTGTGACTCTAAGGATTTGGAGGGGCAGACGTATGAGGTTTGGACACGCGTGCACACACACACACACACACACACACACACACACACACACACACACACACACACACACACACACACACACACACACACACACACACACACACACTGCAGTTGTACAGCAGATTATTGATAACCAATTTGCTTTAGTATTTCATTGTAACTGTGTTGGTGTTTTTTTTAACAGCATCTCAGTGCCGGGGAGCTCGCTCTGCGGAGAGAAGAGATGAAGAAGCACCCCAAACCCTGCAAGATCCCCAGATTCAAAGGGTGAGCTCGATGAGTCCATGTGCTGAATGTTTGAAAGGCTTGTAATTATATATTTATATTTCTGTAACTATAATTGGTTTCCTTCCTTTCTCTAGGTCTTTTGATCCCTTCCAGTTGATTCCCTGCAGGTACTTTGGAGAGGATGTACAGGTAAGTGGCCAGCATGTATCTGTTATGTGACGTGTATGCTCTATAGATTTGTAATTATTTAAAGCCCTTCTTTGCTGCTCCCCCAGGAACCATTCCAGGTTATTGTGTGTGCCGAAACCCTTCTCATAATGGACATGGTATGCTATACACACAACCACACATGCTGAATGTATTTTTCCATTGGGTATCACAATGACATGTTATTTAGCTTGACGTTTCTTCAGTGTGCTGCATGCAACATGAACTGTTAACTGTTTAAGAACGTAGCCCTATACAATCTTTATTGTTTTGTTATTTAACATTCTGAAACAACTCTATTTGTTATTCTGTATTTTATTTATTATACTTTATTGTATTCTAATGTTTCAAAAATCCAATGTGTCATGATTGTCAGCATGCCCACGTGTCTCGAGGGGAAGTCATTGGCCTACTAGGTGGGATTTTCAATGAGGAAGACAGAGTATTAAAGGTAGGAAAATGTGATAAAAGTGCAAAACAATGAGAAGTGAGATCTTGAATTACTATTCAGTATTTGGAAGTGTTTTTAGTAATAGAGGATTCTGTGTCTTTGCAGATCCGTGCAGCGGAGCCATGTAACAGTGTGAGTACAGGTTTGCAGTGTGAGATGGACCCGGTGTCTCAGACTCAGGCCTGTGACGTGCTGTCCAACCTGGGCTTCAGTGTGGTGGGCTGGTACCACTCACATCCCACCTTCCACCCCAACCCTTCAGTACGGGACATCACCACACAGGACCAGTTCCAGGTAAAAAGAATGGATGAGAGAATATGGAGTTTGACCCTGATTACACTTCTATGATGATGGGATCACAAGTGGAGAGCGATACATATATGTGTAAACTACTACATAGACATATTGTGATCACTCAGACCTGTGCATCACAACTTGAATGTATCTCAGTCTAAGTTCTGTTTGGCTCTCAAAGCTGGCATCATCCACTATCTAAATTATCAAAAGATTTCAAAAAGCACATGGAGACGTTTAGGAACACACAAAGGATTAAAGAGTGTCTGTATTCTTTTGTTTTGTTTGGATGTGCCTTCCCCTGAATAAAAGAAACTGCAATTGTTCTTAGCCAAAATAAATGAAATACATGTCTTTTCGCATTTTGAGCAGTTAAGTGAGATCCAATCAGAAGTGGTCACACGAGATGCGTTCTATGCCAGGAATGAACTGACTCCATGTGATCAAATCACTCAGGAGGCATGTTATTGCCAGGTGTTAACGGGTCCCATGTGAACATGTGCTCTGATTCCCTTTGTCCTGATTGTTACAGAGTTATTTCTCGCGTGGCGGTGCCCCCTTCATCGGGATGATCGTGAGCCCATATGACCCAGCCAACCCCTCCCCCCACTCCCAAACTACATGCTTGTTGGTGAAAGAGAGTCAGGAGCCTTCAGGCCCACAGAGTACGTTCAACACACACACACACACACACACACACACACACACACACACACACACACACACACACACACACACAAGAAGACATGATTCAGAACTTCAAAACAGTTAAGATCAAGAGGCTTTGAAATCAAGCTGACAATGTAGGTCAGTATTTTCAGCACACAGTGGCGCAGTTTATCCTCTGGCTGAGTATATCTCTCTGTTCCTCCCCCAGAGCTGCCCTACAGATTCGACTTCCTGTCATCACAAGACATTCCAGACTGGGAACAAACATGGAGGAGAGCTCAGTGGATCATCCATAAATACAGTCAAACACCATGGTGAGTGAGAAACAAAACAGTTGTGTTTATCCTGACACGCGTTTGTGTAATGCTGATCCTGTGTTTGTGTGATTTAGAACACACTCTTCAAAACTTCTTAAAGCTTAATATTGGAATAAATAAACTGTTTTTTTTCCACTCTGGGTAGGAGTGTGAAGATGGACAGATGTTTCCGGAAAGACTCCACTCTCACCTTTCTGGAGAAGGTTTGTCCAGGCTACCTGCTTTTCTCACATCTTAGTGGCTAATGGCTTTATTCTCTGATTGTATCTTATGTCATTTTACTTGACCCCTTCCATCCATCACCTCCCCTCAGATGCTGTCGTCTCTGGCCAGGTACCTGGAGCCCCTGCCAGATGAGGAGGGAGACCCCTTCCTCACCCGGATCCAGGCCCTCTTCCAGTCTGACTTTATTTCCAAGCAGCAACCGCCTGACCAGGAAGAGGGGGAAACTTTAAATATCTCATCCAGACCAGTGGACTCGGATGACTTTGCTTTTGATCAGCTGATCAGTGAGGATAGACCTCCTGAGGGAGGAAGAGGCTCTGATCCAGAGTCTGGCAGAGCTTCAGACAGCAGTGTTCAGACCACAGACACATCCTCAGAGATGAATAGCAGCACAGTGTTGCATCTGGGCTCTGTGCTGTCATCTGAACATGACTATTTACTGTGAGGGACAACATATCATAATCTGACTGTACTTGTATGTAATACAGTATTAAACAAAGTATAAAC